GGGGGAGAGGGGGGGGGGGGGGGAAAAGGGGGGGGGGGGGGGCACCGAGCCGGCGAGGGCGTGGCCCCACATGCCTCCGCCCTCGGGGACGAGGGTCGCCTACGGGAAGTTGCAAGAAGGGTGTGGGACGGTCCGATGCCTCTCTCCCCAGGGAGGTAGGAGGGCGCCTGCTGGCCGGCGTACTGCACGCGCACGAAGCGCTCCTGCAGCTGCTGCAGCGTCGCGGGCGCGCTCGGGCTCGAAGCAAGCGCCTGCGGTGGATGGGCGGGCGGGTGGGCGGGCGGCGGAGGCGAAGGCAGCCGCGAGGCGGCGAGGCGTGGCGGCGAGGGCGAGGGAGGTATGTGTGTGTGTGGATGTGTGTGTGTGCGCGCGCTCCTTTGACATCTCCGAGAGGAGGTCGTCCTCTAGCCTACTCATGACGAGTCCAGCGGTGCACCGGCGAGCACGTTGCCCGACACCTCGGAGAGGGCGAGAGGGTTGCAGCCTCGCGGCGACGTCTGCGAGGGCGCGCCGCTGCACGCCGCCCGAAGAGGCGGGCGAGGGGAGAGGTCCGTCGACAGGCCGCAGGGCGGCGGAGAGCTGGAGGACGGCGTGCGATGTGCTCTTGTACGAGCTGTCGTGCGCCTGCGGGGGAGGGGGCGGGGGAGGGAGGGGCGGGTCCTTAGCGGCAGTGTCTGCGGCGGGCCGCGGCAGGAGGGGGTCTGAGGCGCGCCAGGACGCGTGTGAGCACGTCGACGTCGAGCTCGAGCTGCTTGAGGGCGGAGAGATACGCCTGGGAGGGCGGTGAGGTGGCGGGGCTGGGCTGGGCGCGAGGCGAGAGGAAGGGGGAAAGGGGAGGGGGGGAGGGGGGGAGGGGAGGAGGAGAGGGGAGAGGGGGGAGGGGAGGAGGGGAGGAGGGAGGGGAGAGGAGAGGCGGGCGGAGTGAGGAGTGAGGGATGGGTCGGGAGGAGTGAGGCAGGGGAGTCGAGGCGGGAGGCGGGAGGGAAGGCGGGCGGGGAGGCGGGAGGGGAGAGGTTCCGCTCACCAGCCTCTCTGCGAGCACCGCCTGCTCCTGCGCCTCGCGCGCAATCACCCTCTCGTGCGCGACCGCCGTCTCAAACTTCTCGCGCGCCTGCGCCTCCAGGAGGGCCGCCGCCTGCTGCAGCTGCGTCGAGTGCTCCGCGCTCAGCTGCTGCAGCTGCGCTGAGTGCGCCTCCGCCGCCGCCGCCTGCTCCTCGCGGAATCGCTCGACCAGCTGCGCCTCGATCGCAGCCTTGGCCTCCTCGACCGCCGCCGCGCTCGCCGCCTCCTGCCGTCGCATCAACTCGACGAGCTTGGCGGCGTCCGCCTCCTCCTGGCGCTGCAGCGCTTGCTGCAGCCGCGACGCCTCCGCGTCCCGCGACTCATGCGCCTTGAGCAGCTCCATCAGGTGCGTCACCTTTCCCTCCAGCTCGGACGCCGCGGTGGGAGCCGGCGGCGCGCCGTCGCAGCGCGCCGGGGCCGACGGCGAGAGCCTGTGGAGGAGCCGGTGGAGCAGGGCGCCGGTGGAGGCGCCGGGTGCCATGGCAGCGTTCGGGCTCCGCGGAACTGTGGGCCGACGAAAGGAGAAAAAAAATAGCCCGCACTTAGACGTAGAGCCGAACGGGAGGAAGCCGGGGAAGACGACTCCGAGGAGGACGAACCAGTGGAAATCCCGCCGTCAGCTGTCACGATGCACCCGAAGGGGACCCCAGCGCC